CGGACACGGGAGGACAGTGGAGAAGTGAGACAGGACAGGACCCCCAGAGGGGTCAGCAAGGGAGACCGCAACTGGCCTGGCGAGCGGCGAAAGGGTAGTGCGGTCTCGAAAGAAGGAGCGAGAAGCTCCGGAGTCAAGTGTGAAAGTGAGGGAGGACGAGGACGACTCAGTACCTGAGAACGCAGTCTCACCAGTACCTGAGAGCGCAGACGCACTGGCACCTAGAGCAGCAGCCTCACAAGTACCTAGCGCAGCAGTACCAATGCCCGGGTCGGGCTGGAAACACCGGTAACCCTCATTCTCCTCACTATAATCCACAACATACATAGCAGTAAGGATAGCATCAAAATCAAGATCAAAGATCGCTACACCAGCCCTGAGAAGCTCATCCCAGCGAGGGATCTCACTAGCCCCAGGGAACTGCTGACGCCAAGCGTCCGTCAGGCGGCCAAAGCAGCGCTGGGTGGCGTGGGCACCCCCACACTGCTCACCCGCGCGGTCGCCGGAACGAAGAACGTAGGTGCAGGGACCAGTACCCCCACCCCTCTGACGCCCAGCGTACCACTCACGAAGCTGCTGAGGCGAAGGGATGTCCCGTGAGCGCTGCTGCTGCTGCCGGTGCGAGCGCTGGCCACCACCACCGCCGCTACGCTGCTGGGTACCACCCCGACCAGCTCCACCTCCTCCACCACTACTGCCTCCGCCGCTGCCGCCTCCACTGCCTCCACCTCCGCCGCCTCCACCTCCGCCGCTGCCTCCACCACCACCGCTGGCACCACCACCACCGTCTCCGCCGCTGCTGCCACCACCACCACCACCACCCCCGCCACTAGTCCCGCCGCCACCCCCACTCCCTCCGCCGCCACCGCCGCCACCGCCACCGCCCCCCCCAGCTCCACCCGCGCCCTTGCCTCCCTTGCCCTTGCTGGAGCGACGTCTCCCACTAGGGGCAGACGCCGCGCCGACCGACTCAAGACCAAGCAGGTCGGCAGCAGCAGCAGAGGCAACAGAGGGCAGCAAGGGGGAAGGAGAGCACCCCTCAAAGATGGGGGTGCGAGGGTCACCACGAGAAGCACCTACAGCGACTATGCTCTTCTCCGCTGCAAGGAGGGCCTTCTCGAGGAGGTCGACGGTGAGAGTGGTGGGACAGACTGCGAGAAAGTGGTCCCTGACGACGCGAAGGGAGTCAGGGAGGCGCGCGACTACGTAGTAGAGAGCGATGTATATGGGAGGGGGGTTCCTAGCGCAGAACTCAGCAGGAAGGGCGGCGCGGTAGCGAGTGTCACTAGTGCGGAGGTGCGTAATGAGGTCAGCGACAGTGGGAAAGGCAGAGAGGTCAGGAAAGAGGTAGGGAAGCATGAGACGGCTCAGTGCAGCAGTGGCAGGGGAGGAGTAGCGCGCAACTACAGCGTCGTACAAGGTCTGAGCACTCTTGTACTGACTAAAGTGCGCACGCTCAGAGGTAGGGAGGTGGCGACGCACAGCAAGACGTGCAGCAGCATCGCGGGTGGCCCACTTAGAGCGGACAGTGGGATCAGCATCAGCAGCAGGAGCAGGAGAGGCGCCAGAGGTGAGGTCAAAGAGAGAAAGGTCATCAGCCCTGTCGCACTGTAAGAACAGCTGCAGGTCGTCTAGCCAGACCTCAAAATCAATGGCGCGACCCTCAGCGTCAAAAGCTAGGACACTAGGGGTAGCCATGACGACGACTGTGAAGCAGTGCAAGCAGTAGGGGGGAGAGCACGCAGTGACAGTGGGACTGTGCTCACCAGGCAGGGCAGGTCGCGCAGCTCGACAGAAAAGCAGAACGGCGACCGGGCGGCTCGGGTGTACAGCGGATCGGCTCCCGGGCGGCTCGACGGCAGGGCGGCTCGGGTGTAGGGCGGCTCGGCTCCCGGGCGGCTCGGCTGCAGGGCGGCTCGGGTGCAGGGCGGCTCGGCTCCCGGGCGGCTCGGCTGCAGGGCGGTTCGGGTCCCGGGCCGCTCGGCGACAGGCGGCTCGGGTCGCGTAGAAGTGAGACGGGGCGGGGCCGCGTCAGGGCCGGCGGTAGGGCCGCGTAGGAGCCGGGGCAGGGCCGCGAAGGAGCCTGGGCGGGGCCGTGATAGGAGCCGGGGCAGGGCCAAGTAGGAGGCCGGCGGTGGGGCCGCTTAAGGGGCCGGCTGCGGGGCCGAGTAGGAGCCAGCTGCGGGGCCGCGTGAGAGCCGGCGCGGGGCCGCGTAGGAGCCGGTGGCGTGGCCGCGTCAGGGCCGCGTAAGGGGGGGGGCCGGCGCGGGGCCGCGTAAGAGCCGCGTAGGAGCCGGCGCGGAGCCGCGTAGGGGCCGGGGACGGGCCGCGTAAGAAGCCGGCGCGGGGCCGCGTAGGAGCTGGCGGCGTGGCCGCGTAAGGGCCGCGTAAGGGCCGCGTAAGGGGCCGGCGCGGGGCCGCGTAAGGAGCCGGCGGCGTGGCCGCGTAAGGGCCGCGTAAGGGCCGCGTAAGGGGCCGGCGCGGGGCCGCGTAAGGGTCGCGTAGGAGGCGACGCGAGGCCGCGTAAGGGCCGGGGCGGGGCCGCGTAAGGAGCAGGCGGCGGGGCCGCGTAAGGAGCAGGGCGGGGCCGCGACAGAGTGGGCGGCGAGGCCGCAGGGGAGAGGGCGACTCGAGGGGTCGCTAAAAAAAATCGCGCCTCGGGGGCGCGCTTCGGTGGGCCCAAAAAAAAATTTCGGTCCTGGAGGGACCTAGCTCTATACCATGTGAAATGAGTAAGCAGGAATGAGGTGAACTATGAATGAAAGCAGTACAAATGTGAAACCCTAACTGGGTTGTACCCCCTATGGGATACCCCACTACAGCCTACACAGCAGTATAAGCTATAGACATGTTCTGACAGATTTTCACTGCTGCTCCCTGTATTTTCCCGTAGATCAGTACCGGGCAATCCGTCGCTGTACCCTCCTTATTCATCCGAGCCCGATCGATGGCGTGAATCGGTACTGTGACTCGGTGAGGGTCGGTGTGGTTGGGCGAGCAGGCAGTCTCGTCAGTAGTTGGCCCAACTTCTACTGACTGCTGGCGTTTCCCTGCCTCCGAGACTCCTTCCCCTGCTCTGCTCCTCGACGCCTCAGCTCCTCTGGACATTCGCTCTTGCGATGGCCCGGCCGGTTGCAAGCAAAGCAGCGCCCTCTAAATGGCGTGGCAGCTGCATTCGTTGCGACGGCATGTACAGTGGCGTGCTCGATCGGTCCCCGAGGACGATGTCCGAAATAGGACCCCGGTCTCGGTCGGCGTAGGATATCGATTTTCTCGGCGAGCGCGAGGATTTCGTTGAAATTCGATAGCCCGCGTAGCATTATCTCGTGCGATATGTCCGGCTTCAGCCCTCCGACGTAACGGTCCACCCGTTCCGCCTCGTGCATGTAGCCGACCTGTTCGCAAAGTGCGAGAAAACCGCTGGTGTAGTCTTGAACCGACCCGAGCTGGCGCCAAGTGCGCAGTTTCTGACGCGCCGAAATCGAAGCCGCGATCGGCTCAAAACGCGCCCGAAGCCCTGCGCACCACGCATCCCACGTGCTGTATTGGGCTGTTTCGCAGAACGAACTCCAGGTGACAGCTGGACCCGAGGGCCCTTCCTCGTGCGACGGTGGCTCGTAAGCGCGTGGCGACGTCACGATGACTCGCCACCAGTCCATGGCGGGGCCCCTGAGTAGTGAAACCGCATACCGAATCTTGGCGGCGTCCGACTCGACGTAGTTGGCGTCGAAAAACACATTCATCGTGAAGACCCATGATTGAACTGTCGGGCCGCCGCGTTGGCTTGGGTCGAAGCAGGGCGGGCGTTGCGGCTTGAGTGGCATTGGGGCCATCATGGCGTTTTCACCACTTGTCGTCGCAAACTCCACGTGCCGACGGGCTTCTCGGGGCTCCCGTGGGCTTAGCGTGCTCCTGTTCCCTCCCATGCCGGGCATCGGTTGGGCTGCGCCGTCACTGGCTGCGCCTGAGCGTTGTCCCGTGCTGTTGTGTTGCGTTGGTGTGCCGGATGAAATGATAATCGGCTCCTCCGAATGTACAGAGACATTGGTTGGTGCATGGGATGTTGTCGGAGCATTCACCGTTGACTGTTGACGAGCGGAGTCACGTTCCGCCGTGAGCGTCGCGATTTCAAGCGCCGAATCCTCCAATTGTCGCACGAGACGATCGAGTTGCTCCTGCGTCAACGTGGCGAGAGTGAGGTCGGCCATGGCGGGGGTGTCGGGCAAGCTCAGCGAGAGCCTCGGTCGTGGCCGTGCGTGCTTGCGAGAGAGCACTACGAGCGGCGGTGCTGTGTCGCTGAGAGACGTCTACCCCCCCCAAAAATTGAGATAGTGGGAAGCGAAGGTGTGGATGCGGTCCGAGATGAGATCGTAGGCTCTGATTACCAAGTTTTACGAGTGCAATTGAGTGAACGAACGAGAATTGCACTATCGAAGCAAAGAGGACAATGAGCGAAGGCATGAGCGAAGGATTATATAGCGAAACAATAGTGGTAACGGTAATGGACTGTGGTTGTCGCGCGACGAGCCTGGGGCTGAGGTTGGGAAAGTGTCGAAGCGTAGGCCCGGAGCGCGGGTTACCAACCGAGCCGTGAGGTTGGGATGCGATGTGCGAAGAGGGCGGGATAATGAATGATGCGATGGTCGTGAGTGGTAACGGTGCTGACTGAGGTGCTACAGTGACGTACGCGTTGAGCAGGGACGCGAAGTAAGGAAAAGGGAATTTCCTTACATACGGTAGCTTTCATGTCCTGAACTGGTTTGTGCCGTGCTGCACTGATAACCTAGAGCGTGCTGCACTGCAGTGCACTGTAACATACTGTACTATGCCACTTACGTGGCATAACAAAAATCGAATGCATTCCAAACTGGCAAGGTGGATGGCCTCCTCTGGGCGTACCCAGCGGACTGGCAAGGGGAAAGGCTCGGTGGTTGGTTGGGGAAAGGCTGGACGAGTCTTTTCCAGTTGGATGAATGAGGGTCGGGGGGATGCGTGTGCTGCTACCGCAACACACGAGTGGCTCGATTAGACTGCAGGGGCGTGAGAGCAGAGGAGGGAAAAATGGGGTTGGAGGGGGCGTTACCATTACATGTACGCCAAGGCACACGACCCATAGCACATGGCACATGGGGCAAGATGGCACATGGTATGATGGTACATGGGACAAGATGGCACATGGTATGATGGTACATGGGACAAGATGGCACATGGTATGATGGTAAATGGGAGAAGATGGCACATGGTATGATGGTACATGGGAGAAGATGGCACATGGTATGATGGTACATGGGACAAGATGGCACATGGCACATGGAACATTGCCTATGACGTATGGCAGATGGCACATGGCACATGACCCATGGCCGCTCACCTTCTTGCAGTACTTGGCTCGGATCTTGATGGCGAGATGTGGGGAAGGGGTCTGGTGCATAGCAAGTCACACAAGCCATGGCACATAGCATAGCACACAACACATGGCACATCCCGTGACCCATGGCACATCCCGTGACCCATGGCACATCCCGTGACCCATGGCCGCTCACCTTCTTGCAGTACTTGGCTCGAATTTTAATGGCAAGGTGCACACATGATGCCACATCCAACACCAGCTCCACATCGTTGAACATCTGGAGGAGGAGGGAAGGGGGGTTAGTGGGGGTTCATTGGGGGCCTTGGAGTGGTGCACACAGGATGCCACATCCAGCACCAGCTCCACATCGTTGAAAATCTGAGGAGGGGGAGAGGAGGGTAGGTTAGAGAAGGAAACAGCCAAAAGCAGTGGTAAGGGGAGAGTGGAGTGTGGGTGCACACACGATGCCACATCCAGCACGAGCTACAAATCGTTGAACATCTGAGAAGAGCAAGGCCGATAAGTGGAGCAGCGTTGATGGTGAAGATTAGTAGGAGCGGCGGGAGTTTGGGGTTTGGAGAGAGCCGTGCATGCGGGCAGAGAGCCGTGCATGCGGGCAGAGAGGTGCTTGTGAGAGCAGAGAGCGTGGCGCACCTTAATGGCTTTATCTGAGCCCTCCACCTGCAGCACCCTCTTCCTGTTGGCTCTCAGAATGGCCGCCACACAGAACACGGCTAGGTCCTCATCCCCCACCCGCGCCGAGCAAGGGAGGGCGGGCAAGACAAGAGCCAAGGGAGGACGAGATGGAAGGAGGGGTTCAAGGCTTAAGATCCGCAACCCACCTTAATGGCTTCGTCTGAGCCCTCCACTTGCAGCAGCCTCTTCCTGTTGGCTCTCAGAATGGCCGCTACACAAAACACTGCTAGGTCCTCATCCCCCACCCGCGCTTCCCCCCACCGCGACATCCCCCTTCCCCCCGCCCCCTCCGCTCCCCCCGCTCCCCCCATGCCCCCCCCCATGCTCCCCCCCTTTCGCCCAGACCGCTTCCCCAGCCCCAGGGCGAGCACCGGGGGGAGGGACGGGGGGATGGGGAGCATGGCGGGGAAGGGGGAGGGGTCGGGGTGGGTCGGGGGGAGGGAGGAATGTGCGGAGTGTGCAGGGTGTGTCGGGGAGGAGTTGGGGGCGGTGGAGGGGGGTTGGAGTGGGGGCAGGCCGGCGGACCAGGTGAGGGGTTCTGCTGCCAGGGAGAGGCCTTCAGGGGGGTGGTGCAGCAGCACTGCTGCCATGCGCGGATCGTAGTCTGCCGCCCACATCATCTGAACGGGGGGAAAAACGTAGGACACAGGGTAAGAAAAAGGGTGAGGGGGTTGGGTGGGGAAGGGTGCAGGGGAGCTTGCAGCAGCACTGCTGCCATGCGCGGATCGTAGTCTGCCGCTCACATCATCTGAAGGGGTGGAAGGGGGGGAACAGGGGACAGGAGGCAGGGAACAGAGGGCAAGGAGTCTGTGTTTGAGCCCCCTCAACAACAGATTCAGCAATAGAGAGCCCCTTGGGCGGATGGTGCAGCAGCACTGCTGCCATGCATGAATCATAGTCCCCCGCCCACATCATCTGAATAGAGGGGTTACAGCGGGTAGGGGCCAGGGGGGTTGTTGTGTGGGGGGGGGGGGTAGAGGGCAGGGGGCAAGGAGGAGTGTGTTTCTGAGGTGCCTCAACAACAGGCAGACTTGGCTGCCAAGGAGAGGCCTTCGGGGGGGTGATGCAGCCGCACTGCTGCCATGCGCGGATCGTAGTCTGCTGCCCTGCCCACATCATCTGGAGGGAGGGGAGTCAACAGGACACGGGAGCACAGGCGGGGAGGGAGCGAAAGCAACATGTCAACAGAGAGGAGGAATGAACAAAGCCCATATTCGCATACGATTCGAAAACACAATACATGTGAACGCACCTCCCACATGACAATAACGTCCAAGAGAGGCAATTCTCTCCCGAACAGCACAAGCAGCATGCGGAAGGCGAACATGAAGTTATCGCTTCCCAGCTCCTCCAGATGGGGGGTAATGGTAACGGGTACGTTATGGTAACGGGTGTGTAATGGTAATGGGTGCGTTATGGTAACGGGAGCGTAATGGTAACAGGTGCGTAATGGTAACGGGTGCGTAATGGTAACGGGTGCGTAATGGTAACGGGTGCGTAATGGTAACGGGTGCGTAATGGTAACGGGTGCGTAATGGTAACGGGTACGTTATGGTAACGGGTACGTTATGGTAACGGGTGTGTAATGGTAATGGGTGCGTTATGGTAACGGGTGCGTAATGGTAACGGGTGCGTAATGGTAACGGGTGCGTAATGGTAACGGGTGCGTAATGGTAACGGGTGCGTAATGGTAACGGGTGCGTAATGGTAACGGGTGCGTAATGGTAACGGGTGCGTAATGGTAACGGGTGCGTAATGGTAACGGGTGCGTAATGGTAACGGGTGCGTAATGGTAACGGGTGCGTAATGGTAACGGGTGCGTAATGGTAACGGGTGCGTAATGGTAACGGGTGCGTAATGGTAACAGGGTGCGTAATGGTAACGGGTGCGTAATGGTAACGGGTGCGTAATGGTAACGGGTGCGTAATGGTAACGGGTGCGTAATGGTAACGGGTGCGTAATGGTAACGGGTGCGTAATGGTAACGGGTGCGTAATGGTAACGGGTGCGTAATGGTAACCGGTGCGTAATGGTAACGGGTGCGTAATGGTAACGGGTGCGTAATGGTAACGGGTGCGTAATGGTAACGGGTGCGTAATGGTAACGGGTGCGTAATGGTAACGGGTGCGTAATGGTAACGGGTACGTTATGGTAACGGGTGTGTAATGGTAATGGGTGCGTTATGGTAACGGGTGCGTATGGTAACGGGTGCGTAATGGTAACGGGTGCGTAATGGTAACGGGTGCGTAATGGTAACGGGTGCGTAATGGTAACGGGTGCGTAATGGTAACGGGTGCGTAATGGTAACGGGTGCGTAATGGTAACGGGTGCGTAATGGTAACGGGTGCGTAATGGTAACGGGTGCGTAATGGTAACGGGTGCGTAATGGTAACGGGTGCGTAATGGTAACGGGTGCGTAATGGTAACAGGTGGTAACGGGTGCGTAATGGTAACGGGTGCGTAATGGTAACGGGTGCGTAATGGTAACGGGTGCGTAATGGTAACGGGTGCGTAATGGTAACAGGTGCGTAATGGTAACGGGTGCGTAATGGTAACGGGTGCGTAATGGTAACGGGTGCGTAATGGTAACGGGTGCGTAATGGTAACGGGTGCGTAATGGTAACGGGTGCGTAATGGTAACGGGTGCGTAATGGTAACGGGTGCGTAATGGTAACGGGTGCGTAATGGTAACGGGTGCGTAATGGCAACGGGTGCGTAATGGTAACGGGTGCGTAATGGTAACGGGTGCGTAATGGTAACGGGTGCGTAATGGTAACAGGTGCGTAGTGGTAACGGGTGCGTAATGGTAACGGGTGCGTAATGGTAACGGGTGCGTTATGGTAACGGGTGCGTGCGTAATGGTAACGGGTGCGTGCGTAATGGTAACGGGAGCGTAATGGTAACGGGTGCGTAATGGTAACGGGTGCATAATGGTAACGGGTGCGTTATGGTAAAGGGTGCGTTATGGTAACGGGTGCGTTATGGTAACGGGTGCGTTATGGTAACGGGTGCGTTATGGTAACGGGTGCGTTATGGTAACGGGTGCGTTATGGTAACGGGTGCGTTATGGTAACGGGTGCGTTATGGTAACGGGTGCGTTATGGTAACGGGTGCGTTATGGTAACGGGTGCGTAATGGTAACGGGTGCGTAATGGTAACGGGTGCGTAATGGTAACGGGTGCGTAATGGCAACGGGTGCGTAATGGTAACGGGTGCGTAATGGTAACGGGTGCGTAATGGTAACGGGTGCGTAATGGTAACAGGTGCGTAGTGGTAACGGGTGCGTAATGGTAACGGGTGCGTAATGGTAACGGGTGCGTTATGGTAACGGGTGCGTGCGTAATGGTAACGGGTGCGTGCGTAATGGTAACGGGTGCGTAATGGTAACGGGTGCGTAATGGTAACGGGTGCGTAATGGTAACGGGTGCGTTATGGTAACGGGTGCGTTATGGTAACGGGTGCGTTATGGTAACGGGTGCGTTATGGTAACGGGTGCGTTATGGTAACGGGTGCGTTATGGTAACGGGTGCGTTATGGTAACGGGTGCGTTATGGTAACGGGTGCGTTATGGTAACGGGTGCGTTATGGTAACGGGTGCGTTATGGTAACGGGTGCGTTATGGTAACGGGTACGTTATGGTAACGGGTACGTTATGGTAACGGGTGTGTAATGGTAATGGGTGCGTTATGGTAACGGGAGCGTAATGGTAACAGGTGCGTAATGGTAACGGGTGCGTAATGGTAACGGGTGCGTAATGGTAACGGGTGCGTAATGGTAACGGGTGCGTAATGGTAACGGGTGCGTAATGGTAACGGGTACGTTATGGTAACGGGTACGTTATGGTAACGGGTGTGTAATGGTAATGGGTGCGTTATGGTAACGGGTGCGTAATGGTAACGGGTGCGTAATGGTAACGGGTGCGTAATGGTAACGGGTGCGTAATGGTAACGGGTGCGTAATGGTAACGGGTGCGTAATGGTAACGGGTGCGTAATGGTAACGGGTGCGTAATGGTAACGGGTGCGTAATGGTAACGGGTGCGTAATGGTAACAGGTGCGTAGTGGTAACGGGTGCGTAATGGTAACGGGTGCGTAATGGTAACGGGTGCGTAATGGTAACGGGTGCGTAATGGTAACGGGTGGGTAATGGTAACAGGTGCGTAATGGTAACGGGTGCGTAATGGTAACGGGTGCGTAATGGTAACGGGTGCGTAATGGTAACGGGTGCGTAATGGTAACGGGTGCGTAATGGTAACGGGTGCGTAATGGTAACGGGTGCGTAATGGTAACGGGTGCGTAATGGTAACGGGTGCGTAATGGTAACGGGTGCGTAATGGCAACGGGTGCGTAATGGTAACGGGTGCGTAATGGTAACGGGTGCGTAATGGTAACGGGTGCGTAATGGTAACAGGTGCGTAGTGGTAACGGGTGCGTAATGGTAACGGGTGCGTAATGGTAACGGGTGCGTTATGGTAACGGGTGCGTGCGTAATGGTAACGGGTGCGTGCGTAATGGTAACGGGTGCGTAATGGTAACGGGTGCGTAATGGTAACGGGTGCATAATGGTAACGGGTGCGTTATGGTAACGGGTGCGTTATGGTAACGGGTGCGTTATGGTAACGGGTGCGTTATGGTAACGGGTGCGTTATGGTAACGGGTGCGTTATGGTAACGGGTGCGTTATGGTAACGGGTGCGTTATGGTAACGGGTGCGTTATGGTAACGGGTGCGTTATGGTAACGGGTGCGTTATGGTAACGGGTGCGTAATGGTAACGGGTGCGTAGTGGTAACGGGTGCGTAATGGTAACGGGTGCGTTATGGTAACGGGTGCGTAATGGTAACGGGTGCGTAGTGGTAACGGGTGCGTTATGGTAACGGGTGCGTTATGGTAGCGGGTGCGTTATGGTAACGGGTGCGTTATGGTAACGGGTGCGTTATGGTAACGGGTGCGTTATGGTAATGGGTGCGTTATGGTAACGGGTGCGTTATGGTAACGGGTGCGTTATGGTAACGGGTGCGTTATGGTAACGGGTGCGTTATGGTAACGGGTGCATTATGGTAACGGGTGCATTCTTCTCCCACAACCCCGCCCTTCTATTCAACACACCTCCCAATGCCAATGACGTATGAACCCACCTCCCACATGACGATCACATCCAGAAGCGGCAGCTCCCTCCTGAAGAGCACGAGCAGCATGCGGAAGGTGAACATGAAGTTGTCGGCGCCCAGCTCCTCCAGGTGGGAGGCCAGCTCAGGGTCCACCAGCGCCACCACGTCGCGCAGCACCGCCAGCTGCCGAAGAATGCCCACCGGCCCTTCTGTGAGGAAGTTGTGGCGCTGGTACAGGTGGGATGGGTGGGGGGGGGAGGGGAGAAGGGAGAGGATGAGAAACGAGAGTTTTCTCCAGTCAAAAGTGGTGTGAAAATGGCGCAGGCAGAGGAAGGAGGGAGGGGGTGGGAGGGGGCAGGGGAAGGCAAAGGCCAGCTCGGGGTCCACCAGCGCCACTACGTCCCTCAGCACCGCCAGCTTCCGCAGGATGCCCACCGGACCCTCCGTCAGGAAGTTGTGGCGCTGTTGGGGGGGAGAGGAAAAAGGGGTGAAGGGGCAGGCAGAGGAAGGGTGGGGAGAGGGACAGAGGCAGGTGCCCCGCCAGCTCGGGGTCCACCACAGCCGCCACGTCCCTCAGCACCGCTAGCTGCGGCAGGATGCCGACAAGTCAGGAAGGGTGGGGAGGGGGGCGGGAGAGGGAAGTGAGAGAAGGACGAGAGAGTGTATTGCACAAGGCCAGTCATTTGCACATTTGCAAGTTGAGCAAAGTACCGAAAGAAATGCACTCCTTCTCAAAGTGAGGGGACAGGAGCAGATGAGAGTAGAGAAAGGTTGAGGGAGCAGGGAGAAGCGGCTCACGATTCTGGAGAAGAGGCTTTCGAAGCACCAGAAGGCGTCGGCGGGGTGCGGGAAGAGGATGATGAAGGGCGATAGCAGGTCGCACATGCCTGCACGCATGCAGGGGCACACAATAGTGGGACGGGCATGGATGGATGCAAATACGAGCAAAGCGAGGAGAAAGAAGGCACATGTGATGAGAGCGCCTCCTCCAGCACTGCACTCATGGCTGCATGGTGAGAGCGATATTCCCCTGTGCTGTCACGCTGTACCTTGGTACAAGCCTTTCCTCTCCCACCAGCCTTACTCGTGCATACCTTGGCAGAAGCCTTGACTCTCCCACCAGTATACCTGTGCAAAGGGGCGAGCCGAGTAATGCTCGACTCGTCCCTAGCCTTGCTCGGCCGAGTACGAGCCCGAGTCGAGTAATACTCGACCGAGCATTTTTCCCCCAAACAGAAACTCGTTACTCGCCTTTTATAAGGGAACTCGGGCGAGCATTTCGAAAAGCTCGTCCGAGTACGAGTAAATACTCGGCCATGTGCCCTACTCCTGCATAGAACGACTCTGTACATAACAACTAGTGAAGGCCATTGGTACCACGCAAGTATTGGGGTTTCCAGGGCCGCCCAGGTAAACCCAAGGTGGCCCCAAAAAGCCTAGGGAAGCCAAGGAAAGCCCTGGGTTGCCCTGGGTAGCCTTGGGTTGCCGCGGTAAGCCCATGGAAGCATGCTTAGACCTGGATAGGCGAGTACTCGTCGAGCAAAAAAAACTCGGCGAGTAAAACTCGGCTCGACTCGCCCGAGTAAAAATTCATAAAACCGAAACTCGTTACTCGCACCCAAACGAGTAACTCGGGCGATACCGAGCGAGTAACTCGTCTCGTTGCACGGGTATACCCACCAGCCTTACTCGTGCACACCTTGGCAGAAGCCAGTGGCAGGGTCGATCCACGCGTGCGCCGCCAGGATGTCACTCATGGCCGCCTGCCAGGTCACAGCTGATATTTCAATGTGCTTTCACGCAGTACCAGCCCACTCCATACCTTGGCAGAAGCCAGTAGCAGGGTCGATCCAAGCATGCACGGCCAGGATGTCACTCATGGCCGCCAGGTTGCTGCGATCCGCGTAGAACGCCATGTGGCGGTCCGTGCGCTCCACATCCACCGCTGGGGAGGGGGAAGGGGAAGAAAGGGGGGAAGGGAGCAGGGCGGAGGAGAAGGCATAGGTGAGGGGAAGCAGCAACTAGATTGGTGAGGGGAAGCAGCAACTAGATTGGTGAGGGGAAGCAGCAACTAGATTGGAGAGGGGAAGCAGCAACTAGATTGGAGAGGGGAGAGAGCAGGGAAGAAACGAGAGAAGAAGGCGATTTTGTGGAACTCCCATGTGGCACTCGAACGCTCCACATCCTCTGCTGAGCATGGGGTTTCCCCATCAGGTTCCCCACCCCATCAGGTTCCCCACCCCATCAGGTTCCCCACCCCATCAGGTTCCCCACCCCATCAGGTTCCCCACCCCATCAGGTTCCCCACCCCATCAGGTTCCCCACCCCATCAGGTTCCCCACCCCATCAGGTTCCCCACCCCATCAGGTTCCCCACCCCATCAGGTTCCCCACCCCATCAGGTTCCCCACCCCATCAGGTTCCCCACCCCATCAGGTTCCCCACCCCATCAGGTTCCCCACCCCATCAGGTTCCCCACCCCATCAGGTTCCCCACCCCATCAGGTTCCCCACCCCATCAGGTTCCCCACCCCATCAGGTTCCCCACCCCATCAGGTTCCCCACCCCATAAGGTTCCCCACCCCATCAGGTTCCCCACCCCATCAGGTTCCCCACCCCATCAGGTTCCCCACCCCATCAGGTTCCCCACCCCATCAGGTTCCCCATCAGTTTCCCCATCAGGTTTCGGCAGCAGAGCTATGGGTCTGAGGGCTTACAGAAGGCAACTAACGAGTGCACCTTGTTTGAAACTCACATATCTTATGCAGCGTCCACAGCCACTCTGCCACCCTCTCAGGAGTCACCCCCAGCTGCTCTGCCACCACTGGATCGACCGTCAACCGCGCATCACCCCCCTCCTCTTCCTCCTCCCCCTCCTTCCCCTCCCTGCCTTCCCCCTCCTTCCTTCCCGCCCCCTCCCCCGCACCACCCTTCCCCACGCCCCCATCGCCTCCTCCATTACCATCACCATCGCCAGCACCACCACCATCGCCAGCACCACCATCGCCCCGTGCATCCCCATCACCACCATCACGGCCAGCATCGGCATCATCATCATGACCCAGGATCCACGACCACACCTGCTCCGCGGTGGGGTTGCGGCCGTTGAACGACCGCTGCCGCACATACGCCTGCAGGATGCTGCCCCCCCGCTTCTCCCCCCCCCCTGCCCCATCGCTCCCCTCGCTCCACTCGCTCCTCGCACTGCCCACAAACGGCCCAGTTTTCTCCACAGCTGCTCCTCCTCCCCCTCTCTCCCCTCCTCCTCCTGCTGCTACTCCTCTCCTTTGCCCGCCCTCACCCTCAGCACTGAGTGCCCTGCCTGCAGCACAGGGGCTCCTCTCATCCCCCTCTTCCCCCTCCTCCTCTTCGTCCTCTGCCTGCCGCACAGCACTTCCACGCCCCTCCTCTTTCCTCCTCTCCTCTCTCTTCGTCTCCTCCCCTCGCCGTTCCCTCCTCTCTGCTTCACCTCCGTCTGCCTCTCTTGCTGCTGCACCTGCTGCTCCTTCACGGAAGCTTCCTCCACCGCCCACGAATCCAAGCCCCCAGCCATCCCCTGGCGCTGCTGCTGACCCCCCTCTGCGCCGCCCCTCCCCTGCTCCGCCCTCCGCCCCTCCCCCACTCCTTCCTCCGCCTTCCGCCTTCCCCCTCCTCTCCCGCTCCTCTCCCTCATCGTCCTCCTCTTCCTCCTCTAACTGCCACCCGGCCTCTCTCCGCCCCGACCCCCCAACTTGTTGCCTCCTGTGCGGACCCCCCTCCCCTGCACCAGCCTTGCGCCCCTCCCACTCCGCTGCACCCGCCACTTCCCACTCTGCCTCCTCCCTCTCCCTCTCCTCCCCCTCCGCCTCCTCCCCCTCCCCCTCCACCCGCTCCGAAACACTCCCCAGCTCTCCACCCGCCTCCCCTTTTCCCCTTCGCCTCTCCTCCCACACACCACCGCCACTGCTCGCACTGCCACCATCCGCAACGCTCCCCATCCTATTCCCTTTTGGGATCCCAGCCGCACTTGCAATGCTGCCGCTGCCGCTGCCACCACTGCCAGTGCTGGCAGCGTTGGTAGTGGCAGTGGCAGTGCTGACACCGCTGACAGAGCTGGCAGTGGTAGTGGTGGGATTGCTGGCGGGGGTGGCAGAGGAGTGGGTGGGGTTGCGAATGGAAGCGAGCAGATCGTCTACAGACACACCCCCCCAGTCAGCACTCAGCACCTTCTTCAGCCGGTTTCCCCCCGCCATCAACCCCCTCTGAATCCCCCCCATCCCCCCTCCCAGCCCCCCGAGTCCTCCCCCTCCCGCTCCCGTACCCACTCCCGCTCTCCCCACACCCACAACCCCCCCAACCCCCACACCCCCCGCACCCAACCCCTCCCGCGCTGCTCCCCCTGCCCTCGCCCCCCGCTCGCTCCCCTCACCCCCGTCCCCGCTTTCCACATGCCCCTCCTCCCCCCCTGCGCTCTCCCCTGCACCCAAGTACCCCCGCAGCTTCTTATGTGCTTTCTTCACACTCTTCACTCCCCTCTGCCACGGCCCCTTGCCCTCCCCCCCTGCTCCCCCGCCCATCCCCCCTTCCCCTCCGCCTCCTCCCCCTGCAGAACCCTCCTCCTCTGCGCCTATTCCCCCACCCTCCTCCTCTTCCTCCCCCTCGCCTCCTTGCTCTATAACGAGGACGTCTGGGTCCAGCAGGGCGTTGCCACTAACGGATCCAACCCCTGTCAGCAGCCGTCCCTTTCCCTCTTTGCCCTCCCTCCCCTCCTTGCCCTCCCTCCCCTCTCTCCCCTCCTTTACCTCCTTGCCCTCCTTGCCCTCCCTGCCCTCCTTCCCTTCCCTCCCTTCCTTCCCCTTGCCCGGCAACAGTCTGGTCCATTTCTTCTTGCCTTTGCGCCGCTGCCCCTCCCCACCCACCCCATCGTCCGGGCAGCTCCCCTCGCCCTCCTCCCCACCTGCTGCTGCTGCTGCTTGCCACACCGCTGCATCTGCCCCCGCTGCACCATCTGCATTTCCAGCACCATCAGCACCACCGCCTGTGAGATCAGCACCGGCTAAGCGGGCACACTCCGCTGGCGTGCTGCGTGTGGCGGTGGCGGTGGCGGTGGTGCCTGACAGCGAGCCCTCCACAGTAGCAGCACAAGGCGCAGCAGCAGGGGGTGCAGGTAGGGGGTCGTCTGTGCGACCACTTCGGGGGCGCGTGAGAGGCGCGTTTGCACCCACCGCTCCTACTGCTCGCCCCGTCAGCAGCCCCACATCGGTGCTGCGTGTGCGCTGAGACCTGCTGCTGCCATCCCGCATTCCCACTGCTCCTCCTCCTCCTCCTCCTCCTCCTGCCCCTGCTCCTCCAAACCCTTCTCCAGTCCTCCCTGCTCCCCCTCCTCTCCCGCCACCGCCACCGCTGGCCCTGGCATGTGGAGGGTGTGAGTGGTCCACCCTCTCATACCGCCTCTGCCTCTCCCGCGCCCACTTTGCCCTCATCTCTTCCATTCCCCCCTTCCTCTCCTTCCCTCCCGCCCCCTCACCTCCCCCTCCCCATCCTCCGTCCTCCGCCCCTTTCCTCCCCTTCGCCTTCCTCTTTTCGTGTCCCATGCCCACACCCCCTTCCCTTTCCTTCTCCCCATCCCCCCCTTCCCCATCCTCCCCCTCCTCCTCCCCATCCCCCTCCTCATCATCCTCCTCATCATCCTCCTCCTCGTCCTCCTCCCCCCCCCCACCACCAAGCAGTGCCCTCGGGTCTTCAAGGTCAAGCAGGTCGAGGGGGAAGGAGAAGGAAGACGAGTGCAGCCGCGGGCCGCCCTCCTCCATCAGCTGTTCCATGCGAAACGTTGGGTTGCTGCCACTCCCGGCGCTCTTATCCGAGAACTGGCGCGGGAACTTGTCTGCTGCGGAGCTTGAGGAGCCGCTGCGTGGCCGCGGCAGCACGATGCTGCTGCTGGTGCCGCCGCCGCCGCTGTTGCTGCTGGTGGTGGTGGGAGTGGGGGTGCTGGTGAGGGAGTTGGTGATGCCGCTGGGGCTGCTGCTGATGGCCGTGGTGGAGGGAGTGGAAATTCTGCCGCTGCTGCTGCCACTACCCGGTCTGCTAATGCTGCTGCTCGTGCTGCTACCCGGAACGCCCGTAGTACTGCTGCTGACAGTGGTGGTGCTTGTGGTAGTGGTGGTGGTGGTGGTAGTTGTGGTGGTGGCACCAGCAGCCACTGTCACCATCGTTGTTGTAACGCTGCTCTGCCTGAAGCTGCCCTCCTCTGCGCCCCTGCCGTCCCTACCAATGCCGCCCATCTCACCGCCATCCACACCACTGCCAGCACCACCACCAGCAGCGGCGGCGGCAGTGGCAGCAGCAGGAGCGGTAGAATCCGCAGCGGCGGCGGCGGCAGGAGGCTGAGAGGCGCGGGCAGTGAGGATGCGGACGTCCATGATGCGCGAGCCCACGGGGAAGGCCAGCTGCCCCGTGCCCACGCGCCCATGCATGCGCGCGCACTGCTGCACCAGCTGCTCATACCGCTCCCTGATTGGGGTTTAGCAGCAGGGAGGACGTGGGAAAGGGAGGGAAAGGGGAGTGTTCGCTTAGGTGTGTGATGGCTGGCCCGTGCCCACCCGCCCGTGCATGCGCGCGCACTGCTGCACCAGCTGCTCATACCGCTCCCTGATTGGGGTTTAGCAGCAGGGAGGACGTGGGAAAGGGAGGGAAAGGGGAGTGTTCGCTTAGGTGTGTGATGGCTGGCCCGTGCCCACCCGCCCGTGCATGCGCGCGCACTGCTGCACCAGCTGCTCATACCGCTCCCTAATTAGGGTTTGGCAGCAGGGAGAAAATGGTAAAGGGAGGGAAAGGGGAGTGTTCGCTTGTGTGTATGGTGTGCTGCAGGAGAGAGGTAGAGGGGGACATGGTGTGTCCATGTGGGTTTTGTGACGTCTCATAACTGTGTGCAAGTGTGTGCGAGTGGGGCAGCATGCACTCACTGGCGGGCGGCAGTGACTCACCGGCGGGCGGCGCGCACGTAGTTGCGCTCTTCAGCGGTGGAGTCGAGAGAGAAGCACCCCAGCAGGAACTCCCACACCTCGCCTCGTATCGACCGATCCACCCCCTGTATGCAACATGCACACATGCACGTGCCACACACATGCCAGGCACGCACCAGGCACACGCCAGGCACACGCCAGACACACGCCACGCAAGCACCACCCAAACACGCACCAGGCACAGAGAAAGGAGGAGAGCATGTAGGAAGGAAACAGCAGTTGGCATTGGCACCGGCTGCTTGCTGCTGCGCACGAGACGGGGACGCCCTTCCGACAGATCCCCCCCACCCCTTGCCTTTCCTACTGTCCCGCCCGCTCCCCCCACGCTCTCCCTCCCCCGCTCTCACCCCGTCCAGCATGGCGCGCAGCACGGCGGGCATGCGCACGAGACGGGGGATGCCCTTGCCTTCCTACTGTCCCGCCCGCTCACCCTGCTTCCCCCCATTCTCACCCCGTCCAGCACAGCGCGCAGAACGGCTGGCATGCGCACGAGACGCCCCTCCGCGTCGAACGCAGCTCGCCACGCGCGCGGCTTCAGGCGCCGTGCCCGCCCCGCCTGCATGGGGGGGAACGAGTGGCGGAGAGAGGCGCGGAGACGAAAGGCGCGGGGGAGGGAGGTTAGGGAGAGAGGCGCGGGAATGTGATGCATCGCGGAGGCGAAGGCAAAGCGATGGCGGGAGGAAGGGCGGAATAGGAGAGGAATCAGGTAGGGGGAAGAAGGGAGGGGTAGGTGGGGGCATGGGAAGCTTCAGGGCTTTTCAATGCGAGGCGCGAGGCGCGCCGTGGGGCGCAGCGCTCACCTGCGCGTTCCATGGTGCGCCGTGCTGCTGCTGGCGCGCGTCCGCGGAGATCCAGCTGCCGTCCTTCATGCTCGTCGGCGGCTTCTCCGCGCGCCCATGGCTGCGCCCCTCTCCGCCCGACTTCTCCGCGCGCCCGAGCACCTTCCCCTCGCCGCCCGGCTTCTCCGCGCGCCCCCCAAGCCCCCTCACCTCGCCGCCGTGCCCCTGGCCGTGCGACGATGGCGGGCGAAACGCCATCGCACGGCGCGACCTTCAGCGAAAAGCTTCGCGGATGTAGCTATCAATGCGACTCGCATGGGGTTTTCCTGTCTGCGCGTGCAGCGGTCCCGCGACGACTCGGAACGAAAATGCGTCGAGCGGGCGACAGAGTGCGACTTGAAACTGCAATGCGACGAACGAAACGACCTGGTTACCACTCCATTTAACGGATTCGATGCATCACATGCCTACATTACGGCGACCGGCCGACCTCAGCGCATGCCTCAATACATCCCCACGTGCTGTGGACAATGCGCGCCGTGCGGTTTATCCCTCTGCGGCTGGCATTGTTCATAAGATGTACAAAATCGCGAGACGCGCCGCGTCCGACAAATGGGATACTACGTGCTCGCTCGAACGCTACTCCGTTGAGTTGTGCAGCCCCCGAAGGGGAATGAGCCTAGCGCGCGAGCGAGGAAGCGCGTCCTGATGAGTCGACCTATCAACGCGGGGGAAGCCTCGGATTACGACGACAAGACACCAGAGCTGCCCATTTTGAAACGAGCAGTTTCTACCTCCATTCCCTTTCGCTCACTGCAGTAAAATGCCTGGTTAAAAAAACGACTGCAGAGTGAAGTGTGTTGATAAGGCTGGGAGCAATGCAAGAGCAAGCAGCAGACAAGCAGCAGTGCTCCTCAGAGCAGGTGCTGCCTGCGTGCGTACGGACGGACAGAGAACTGAGTAGGCAGCAGCAGGAGCAGTGAGTGAGATCAGTCCAGTAGGCCACCAGCAAGGACGGACCATGATGAGTCCACTCCACGAGTGCTGCTGCAGCCATGTGGGGAGGAGGAAGGATTGTGATTGAGCAGGATTGCACAGTACAAACGAGGTTGGTTGGTGGGCTCTGTTGGCGGGTGCTGCACTATATCTTCCTTATCAGATACTGATTATCGATTTTATTGATGTTGAGAATCTGCAACACCTTATGGGACTTCTAGGTTGAGCAACCATTTAACGACTTCTGTATAATATGTGCATATCATGCTGTTTCATCGATATTTTAAATATAATTCTCCGAAAAACTTTGCTAAATCATTTTCAGTATATTAATAGTTAACTGCAAAGAGGGGTCTAAAATGGGGAGAAACTGATGGCAATCCCTTCTCCATCTTTTCTCCCAAAACTCCCATCTCCCATCTCTGTCTCCATTCCCGAATTCTTTTCTCCTGCCTCTCATCTCCCATCTCTGAAATCTCTTTGTTCTAAACTTAGCATGGTTATAGGACATGTAGAGATAGCGGAGACCCTTAAAAGTAGTCATCTCTGGAAGAAGGGTGAAGGAACACTCGAGCGCGGATTCATGCCTCACGTGAACATTGCGCGCTGATGATAAGCAGATCGTCGACCACAGATGACAGAACCTATACATGTCTACACATATACGTGTATAATCCTGTCGGATGCTCGTGACTGATCGGCATTATCGGCCCGTGCTTTTCTTGCTGCGAGAGAAACGAACTTCCGCTGAAACCAAACTTGTTTTCTCGGCGGGCCCTGCGAGTGAACGGACTTCGCAGTCGCAGTGTGGTCGCGATGCTGGTGGATCTGAACGCGTTCGCGGACGAGCATTTCGACCCCAAGGCGTGGGTCAACGATGCGTGCGCCGCGCTCCCGCCGGAGGAACCTCCGGAGAAGTTTCTCGCGGACATTGAAATGAAGCTGCAGCTCTTATCGGGTACGATTGTCCTGGCAATGGTCATGGAATTTCGGGCGCGCTGCTGAGGGTGCCGCGTGCTGTGAGGGAGTAGGTCCCATGCTTCGTCATTGCTACCAACTTGTTCACACGTCTATATGCTGCGTGTGTGCTGCGTGTGTGCTGCGTGTGTGCTGTGCGTGTGCTACACGCGTGCAGAGGACATGGGCGGCGCGTTGGAGGAGCAGAGCGCGGGCGCGCTGCTGAGAGTGCCGCGCGCCGTGAGGGAGACGAAGCGCGTGCGCGACGATGCCGTGTCGCTCAAAGGCACTGTTGCCAGCATCCTGCAGCGCCTGCAGCAGGTGCGTGGGGGTAAGGGGAAAGGAGGTGGTGGGGGGGGGAGGGAAGTGGAGGGGAGGGGGGGGGCGGGGTGAAAGTGGGACAGGCAGGAGCAGGGGCGGTCAGGGAGGGCAATATCTTCAAGGCACTGCGCCCAGCATCCTGCAGCGCCGCAGCCGGTGGGGGGAGGAGATGGGAGGGATGGGGGTAGTGTGCGCAGGAGGGGAACGGCAGGCAAGTTGGGGGGGAATCAGGGGGGAAGGGGGAGGAAGTGTAGGAGAGGGGGGTAAGAGAGGGGGTTGGAGGAGGAAGTGGGGGGGGGAGAGGGAGTTTGCAGGGCTGTGTGGGGATTTATACACGAGTATACATGCATGTGAATATATATAAACTTGTGCCCATGTGTGTACGTGTCTTTCCTTGTGCTGAGCTGGATCAGGTGGAGGCTACGTCAGCAGCATCCGTGGCGGTGCTGGCGAAGGTGGATGCAGTGAAGCAGCAGATGGAGGCGGCGAGAGACACCCTCCAGGTGAGTCTGATTTTGAGTCGACTCAGAAACGAGAGACACGCTGCAGGTGAGCAGCAGGCCCTTTCTCCCCCCCCCACCTCCATTCCCTTTCCATCGTCCCTCTCCATCATCCCCCCCTTCCCTCACTCACGGTTGCCTTGCCTTTCCCCCCTTCCCCTCCCCCACCCCCTTCACCATTCTCCTTCCCCCTCTCCATTTCCCGCTTCCTCTTCTCCCACTCCCCTTACCCTCTCCACTCCCCCCCGCCCTTCCCTCTCTCCATTTTCCTCACCCCTCACTCCCTCTGCCACCACAGTACGCGGCAGGCTTGGCACAGCTGAGCGCGTCAGTGGAGCAGGTGTTCGCCAGTGGCGACCTGCCACGTGTCGCCGAGACATTGGCCAACATGCGGCGCTGCCTGGAGGTGGTGGGCGATGTGAGTCCCCCCTGGCACCTGCCTCCGCTTCTGTCCCTGTGGCCTGTAACACCCCGTACCCCATGTCCCATGACCTCTGCTGCATACCCCATGCCCGTGCCCCACGCCCCATGTCCAATGCGTCCGCTCGCCTTGCGCATCCCTCCTCTCTCGTCCTCCCCGCCATTGTCTCTCTCACGTCTGCGCCTACCGCTTCGGCACTTCCCCTATCCCCCTCTCAATCGTCTGTCCATCAGGCGCCGGAGTTTGCGGCGAACAAGAGGCAGCTTCAATCGCTGGAGGATCGGTTGGAGCAGATGGTGCAGCCGCGGCTGTCAGACGCGCTCACTCACAGCAAGGTGAGATGATCCCCAAAAATGGACGATGGGTAATCACTATGAGCACTGCTAAGGCCCGCGCACTCCACGATTGAAGCACCTTGAAAGGCTCACTCATCCCTATCCGTCCCTCTTTCACTCCCTATAAAAGTCGTACCCCTCCGTTCTGCCACTTCTGAAGCACAAAGAATCCAACTGCTTCGCCCCCTTCCTAGTACCCTCAAACCTTATTTTCTCTGCAATGGCACGCCCGTCGTCGCCCTGCCTGCCGCTCCCAGCTCAGCCTCTGCTTTATTGTGCGTGGCCCCACGCCAGCTGGAGGCGTGTGACTCGCTCACAGCCATGGCACCATGGAATGTTGTGCAGTGTGGTGCGGTACCATGGGATACCATGGAGTGCCATGTGGTAAACCTCAAACCTGCACCTCCAACCTGCACCTCAAACCTGCACCTCAAACCTGCACCTCAAACCTGCACCTCAAACCTGCACCTCAAACCTGCACCTCAAACCTGCACCTCAAACCTGCACCTCCAACCTGCACCTCCAACCTGCACCTCAAACCTGCACCCCTCGTGCGCTGCCCTGTTAGCCCCCAACTCAAGCACCTTTCTCTTCCATCCAACCCACCTACCCGCACCAGTTGGACGCGTGTCGCTCACTCACAGGCATCCTGGCGGCCATAGGGCAGCAGCATAGGGCGGCAGCATAGGGCGGCAACACACAGTGGAGGCGCTCTTCTGCCTCGTGTTAGCCCTGTTAGCCCCCAACTCAACCACCTCTTTCTCTCCCACCCGCCCCCTTTTCCCATCCTTCTATGCCAGTTGGACGCGTGTCGCTCGCTGACAGGCATACTTGCAGCGATTGGCCGGCAGCACACAGTGGAAGCTCTCTTCTGCCTCGTGCGCTGCCGCCCGCTCACACGCCTGTGGGAGCAGTTCGAAGTCACTGCTGTGGCACCAGGAGCTGGTAGGGGGCAGGGGGGGGAAGTGACAGACGGGCAGAGGGGCAGAGGGGCAGAGGGGCAGAGTGGCAGAGGGGCAGAGTGGCAGAGTGGCAGAGTGGCAGAGTGGCAGAGTGGCAGAGGGGCAGAGTGGCAGAGTGGCAGAGTGGCAGAGTGGCAGAGTGGCAGGGTGGCAGAGTGGCAGAGGGGCAGAGTGGCAGAGTGGCAGAGTGGCAGAGTGGCAGAGGGGCAGAGGGGCAGAGTGGCAGAGTGGCAGAGTGGCAGGGTGGCAGGGTGGCAGAGTGGCAGAGTGGCAGAGTGGCAGAGTGGCAGAGTGGCAGAGGGGCAGAGTGGCAGAGGGGTGGACTGACGGACATGCTTAATATGGGGTTGTGATTTGAGGGCTGTCTCACAAACTATTTCCTCTCCCTCCTGTTCCTGCTTTCTTCCATCCCTCATTCTAGTCCCCTCCGCTATCATAATCTCATCAATTCTTCTCATCTCCCCTTCCCTTCTCCGCCCTCCCCCTCCGGTCCCGCAGGTCCCTTGGCAGCAGCGTTACAGTTCCCTGAGTGGTTATCGCGCTGGTATGACGAAATGTTTCTCGCAGTGGAGCGGGAGGCGCGCTGGTGCGTGGCAGCCATAACTCATTCCTTGCTCCCTCTCTCCTGTGCCACCCCATTGGACACTCTCTCCTCCCCCAGGTCCCTTGGCAGCAGCGTTACAGTTCCCCGAGTGGTTACCGCGCTGGTATGACGAGATGCTACTGGCAGTGGAGCAGGAGGCGCGCTGGTGCGTGGCAGCCTTCCCCCACCACGCCTCGCCTCTGCTGCTACGTCTGCTCACGGCCACGTGGGGCGGGATCGCCTCCAGCTTCACTGCGCGCGTCGATGCTGCTGTGTCTGACGCTGCGCTGTCTGCTCTTGCTGCTTCTGATGCAGGTAGGCAGGGTGGGGGTGGGAAAGCATGAAGCGAGGGGGTGGGGGGGGTTGTGCCATACCACCTGCTCACGGCCACGTGGGGCGGGCTTGCCTCCAGCTTCACTGCGCGCGTCGATGCTGCTGTGTCTGATGCTGCGCTGTCTGCTCTTGCTGCTGCTGATGCAGGTAGGCAGGGTGGGGGTGGGAAAGCATGAAGCGAGGGGGTGGGGGGGTTGTGCCATACCACCTGCTCACGGCCACGTGGGGCGGGCTTGCCTCCAGCTTCACTGCGCGCGTCGATGCTGCTGTGTCTGATGCTGCCCTCGCTGCTCTCTCGGCTGCTGCTGCTGATGCGGGTGAAGCAGGTCAATTGGGGGGTGGGGGAGAATGAAGGCAAAGAGGGGGAAAGAGGGAGGGAGGCTGTGGCCTCTGCTACCTGCCTTCCCTCCCTCGCCCTGCAGCGTCCCAGTGGCGACCATCCACCCGTCTGCCCATCCTGCTCGCCCTACACGCCACCACCACCACCTTTGCCCTCCAATGGTCAGGAGAGGATGCATCCTCTCCTCTGAACCATTCCCGTTGCCCTCCTTTTTTTCATCTTCTGCTCTGCCTTCTCGCCTCTGTCTGCAGCATCCCAGACCAGACCTTCTACGCGCCTGGCCCTGCTACTCGCCCTACACGCCACCACCACCACCTTCGCGCGCAACCTCTCCCGCCTCCTCGCCTCCCTTCCTTCCTCCACCCCCCCCGATGCCACTAAACCATCTTCCTCTGAAAAAAGCACCCAAGGAGCCGCCGCCGCAGGAGGAGGAGCGGCAGGAGGAGAGAAAAGCAGCAAGAGCAAGGGCAGGGAGGAGGAGGGGGATCAGGAGGGAGAGGGGCCAGTGAGTGTGGGAGCAGTGGTGTGGGCGGTGTTCCGGCCCTTGGAGCCCTTCAAGCAGCGCTACGGGGACTATGAGCGTGCACAGCTGGCGGCGGATCTGGGCGGCATAGATCTCAGACCGGGCGGCGCAGTGAAGCAAGTGGGGCAGCGTGGGCTCGTGCTGGCAGATGCTGTGCGGCGCATGGAGGTGAGAGGTGGTGCTGTGCGGTGCATGTCAGTGTGCTGGAATAATCTCTTGGAATCTTTTGGAGTTCTCAGTATGCCTAATATGTTCCTGGGAGGTGGTCTGGAGGTGGTCTGGAGCTGGCCTTTTCGTATTTTGCTACCACGCTCCTCTTTCCTGTACCACCTCTACCACCCATCCCATTCTGCATACTTAATCATCCCATCACCTCTCCCTCTCCTGTCCTCTACCCCTTTCCTCCACTCTTCATTCACCCCCCTCACCAGGCGGCCATCCCAGCAGCTATGGCAGCACTGGAAGCAGCAGTGGAGCGCTGTCTTGCCTTCACAGGGGGCTCAGCAGTGTTGCTCACCGCTCTCAACCACTCACTCCTCCTCTACGTCCCCTCTTTCTTACCCGCCCCACGCCCCCCTCGCCCTTCCCCCACCAGGCGGCCATTCCAGCAGCCATGGCAGCACTGGAAGCAGCAGTGGAGCGCTGTCTTGCCTTCACAGGGGGCTCAGAGGCAGCAGCTCTCCTCACCGCTCTTGACCACTCCATCCTCCTCTTCCTCTCCCGCCTCTCCTCCTGCCTCCAATCCCTCCCCCCCATCTGCGGCCTCTCCCCTCCCGCCCCTCCCACCCCTCCTTCCTCCGCCACTCCCTCCGCCCCAACCCGAGCCTCCGGTCCAGGCTCGGACCGAACCAATCCAGTCTCAGACGATCCGTTAGCTAGTCTACCAGACCCGGCGGGGTACGGGGGAGGTGGAGCAGGGGGGGTGGAGGAGGAGGAGGAGTGGGCAGTGGTGCAGGGAGCGCTGCAACTGCTGATGGTGGCAGAGAGTGTGGCAGTGCGCGTGGCAGTGTTTGAAGCCTCCCTCCGCAGCGCCCTCACCCAGCTCTCCCCCCGCCTGGGGCTGGATGCTGGGGGGGATGGCGCAGGGGAAGGGGGAGGGGAATCCGCGGGAGGGGAGGTGAAGCGGGTGGGGTCGGTGGGTGGCGCAGGGGGAGGGGGAGGCGCAGGGGGAGGGGGAGGCGCAGGGGGAGGCGGAGTGGGAGCTGGAGGGGGAGCAGAGGGGAGTGAGGTGGATGTGGCTGTGCTGCGACTGGCGGAGTATCCCGACAAGGCTCAGCGCCTCGCCAGGTGCAAAGCTAGGGGGTGGAGAGGTATGGATGCAGGTGATGGGTGAAGGTGAGGCGAGAGTGAGTAGCGGGTGGGAGTGGAGGGGAGTGAGGTGGATGTGGCGGTGCTGAGACTGGCGGAGTATCCCGACAAGGCCCAGCGCCTCGCCAGGTGCAGCGTGATGGGGTGAAGGGATGGTGGGCCATGTGGTGAAGGGATGGTGGGCCATGTGGTGAAGGGATGGTGGGCCATGTGGTGAAGGGATGGTGGGCCATGGGGTGAAGGGATGGTGGGCCATGGGGTGAAGGGATGGTGGGCCATGTGGTGAAGGGATGGTGGGCCATGTGGTGAAGGGATGGTGGGCCATGTGGTGAAGGGATGGTGGGCCATGTGGTGAAGGGATGGTGGGCCATGTGGTGAAGGGATGGTGGGGCATGTGGTGAAGGGATGGTGGGCCATGTGGTGAAGGGATGGTGGGCCATGTGGTGAAGGGATGGTGGGCCATGTGGTGAAGGGATGGTGGGCCATGTGGTGAAGGGATGGTGGGCCATGTGGTGAAGGGATGGTGGGCCATGTGGTGAAGGGATGGTGGGCCATGGGGTGAAGGGATGGTGGGCCATGGGGTGAAGGGACGGTGGGCCATGTGGTGAAGGGATGGTGGGCCATGTGGTGAAGGGATGGTGGGCCATGGGGTGAAGGGATGGTGGGCCATGGGGTGAAGGGATGGTGGGCCATGTGGTGAAGGGATGGTGGGCCATGTGGTGAAGGGATGGTGGGCCATGTGGTGAAGGGATGGTGGGCCATGTGGTGAAGGGATGGTGGGCCATGTGGTGAAAGCAGTGCAAGGCTTGAATGTGCTTTCAATACAGCACCAAAATTACCATGTGGTCATTCGGGCCTGGCTCCATAACCGTTGCTTGCCCTCTCTTGCCCTCCCCCCGTTCCCCCCTCCCCCCTCCCCCCCACTGGTTGTGCACCTGCCCTCATCAGGCTGCTGGACGAGTTGAGGGACCCGCGCATCCACGCGCTCCCGCGCACGGCGCAGCGAGTGAGAAGCTTCCAGGAAGCGGTGTCATCATTGGTGTACGACGTGCTCATTGCCAAGGTGCGACCATCCCCGCCCCCCACCAGCTCCCTTGATTGAACTTGTGAGAATTCCCAAAAGACCAACTCCCTTGATTGAACTTTTGAGAATTCCCAAAAGACCAACTCCCCTTCCCCCCTTACCCCACTCTCTATCATCTTTGTCTTTGCTCGCCCCCACTTTCTCTCCTCACCCTCCACACCCTCCTCCTCTCCCTCGCTCTCTCCTCCCTCATTGCTGGTGCACGATGTGCTCAATGCTCATTGGCTCTCCTATGAGCACATCGTCCAATGACCGCAAAGGATGCGATCATTCCTCTGCGCTCTCGCTCACCCGCTGGCTCTCCCCACTCCCCTCACTCGCCCCGCTACCCTCACTCTCCCTGCTACCCGCAATCTCCCCATTTCCCTCAGTTTCTTTGCTCTCTTCATTTTCTTCCCTTTCCTCGCTTTCCTTCCTCTTGACAATTGTGTTCTTCCATGCTGCTGCAACACTCCTCCCTGCACTCGTCTCATCGCCTACTTCCTCGCTTGCCTCGTTCCCCCTTTTCTTATATCCATCCCCGTGCATCTCGCGCCCCCACCTTGCAGGTGCGGCGGCAGCTGGCGGGGGTATCCACGATGCCGGACTGGGCATTGGGCGAGGAGGAGAATGTGTTTGACCTACCGGCCTTCAACGCGTACGCTCTACCATACATCACAGCCGTGGGAGAATACCTCCTCACTCTCCCCCAGCAACTCGAGCCTCTCGCCGTCGCTGCCTCTGAAGCTGCCCCGAGCCTGCTCCTGCAAGCCTCGGCAAGCGGCGCGTCGGCGGGCGGGGAATCCGCGACGCCGACCGCAGCAGGGGAGGAGGACGCAGGAGCATATTTCGTCCGTGAGTGGATGACAAAGGTTGCGGACGGCGCGACGTCGCTATTCGTGGAGCAAATTCGGGCAATTCCCGAGGTGTCGGACCGGGGGGCACAGCAGTTAGCAGCAGACATAGAGTATCTATGCAGTGTACTGTCGGTGCTTTATGTGGCTGCATCGCCTGCTATCGCGACCTTCCAAGCGTGCTTTGCCACGCCCAAGGCAAGCCTGGCGGAGTTTATCGCACATGAGAGTGGTGCTGGAGGGTCGCTGGATGCCACCGCTGCCCGCCTGGTTGCCAAGATGAGGCGGGTTGCTCTCGAGTGATAACGGCACGGCTGTCAAACATTTTTGGTAAAACCACTGGGAGTCCTCTTTTATCAAATGCAAGTTTGAGGCACTCTTACTTTGATTCATCTTTTTAGAACGTAAAACACGACGCTCCAGTAACATACCTTCGCCGCTCCAGCACTTTCTTGAAAGTTCCACGTGGCAGGCAGATTTTTTCACCTCTTGGTGGGCGAAGCACATAGACAAGCAAGAAAGAACTAGTCAAACCGGACCAAACCCATTGCTGTTTATGCGGCACCGACGCTTTAACAATGATCTTGGAGACGCCTAGAAATTTCTCAAGGCTCTTGGAAGAACCACGGCACAAATTCCTGCTCAAGGCTCTCTCATAGATCCAGCAATACATTTTCTGCTTCGCTCTCCGCGTTCTGCTCCCGAAACTAGCAACGTAACTTGCGGATACTTGTACCATCCTTCTCGCTGCACCGCTTTCCTCCCTCACCGCTCTTTGCATCGCGTGCCATCATCTGCCATACCTCCGTCATGGCGGCTACAGCATCGCGGGGCTCGTCCCCTTTCTCCCGTTTCGGCGACTCGCAGTCATTCAACTTCGACGCGCTGAAGAACTTCTCCGCGCTCACCCCCTCGATACAGTCACATCTGCAGAAGGTCTACCTGACGCTCTCGCTGACGCTGGTCGTCGCGTCGCTAGGCGCGTACGCGCACGTGCTGTGGGGGCTCGGCGGCGCGCTCTCGTCGATAGCGTCCATCGCGGGCGTGCTTTGGCTCAACGCCACTCCCGCCGTTCCCGCTAACGAGGTGCGCCTCCTCGCGGCCTGATACTATCCTCGTCCGCTAGTATTCTCCCTCCTTTGCTGTATAATACTAGCTCTACTAGTCGATAGCGTCCATCGCGGGCGTGCTCTGGCTCAATGCCACCCCCGCCGTTCCCGCTAACGAGGTGCGCCTCCTCTCCGCCTCCTCCTCTCCTCGTCTGCGAGTCTCCTCTTTCGCTAGTATTCTTCCTCCAAAGCTGTGTGCCAGCAGTTCTAACATTCTTTCGCGTCCGTAGGCGTACGTTTAGTATATTTTTTAGGCGATGTTCTCATGACCTCCTCAATGTAAGCGAAGCGACGAAGTCTTTCGATGTGTAGCCGACCGTTTTTCTCTTCAGAAACCCCGTTCTTCGTCCTACCTTCTCGTAAAACCACTTCCCACTTTTTCCCCGTCTCTCCCTTCCCACGCGTTGCCGCGTCCTCGCGAATCTTTCGCCAGTCGTTTCGCTTTCGCCTGCTTCTCGCCATCGCCTTCTCGCACGGCTGCTCCATCGGCCCGCTCGTCGATGCTGTTATTCAAATCAACCCCGGGTAGGTCCCCGGATATGGCATCCTTAAGAGGTCAACCCCGGGTAGGTCCCCGGTTATGGCAGCCTTAGGTCAACCATGGGTAGGAGAGCTTTAGGTTAACTTCAGACTTGTCAAGCGGAGGATCACCCACTTATTAGGCTAGCCCAGGGCAACTGTGAATGAAGTAGTCAGGTCAACCGTACGCGCGGTTTTCTTCTCTCGTTTTCTGTCTGCCCGTTCCACCCCAGCCCCCATCTCGTCCTCCTCCCTCTGTCTCCTTCCGCGCTGCCTGCATGCTCTTCGTTTCACTCCTTTGCTCTCCATCTCTCCATTTGCGCTCTCCGGCATCGCTCTCCTCCCACTCTCTCTTCCTCCTCGCATCGTCTCCCCCGTCCCCCTCCCATCCTCGCATTCTCCCACCCGTGCACTCTCCGCCGCACATCACCCATGCTTGTCGTTCCTGCTCCTAACCTCTCTCTCCCGCCCCGTCCCCCCCTCCCTGCCTCCCTCCCCGTCCAGTCTGCTAGTAGCAGCATTGCACCAGCAGCCATCTTCCTGTGCTTCTCAGGGGCAGCGCTGCTCGGAGTACCTTTTCTTGGGGGGCTTTCTCTCCCTGTACTCAGTCACTCAGCTCTGCCTACTCCCGACCTCTCACCCTCACCCCCTCTCACAACCCCCCCTGTCTCCCTCTCTTCTTCTCCCTCCTTCCCCCCCAGTCTGCTAGTCACAGCGTTCGTCGCAACAGCAGCCATCTTCCTGTGCTTCTCAGGAGCAGCACTGCTGGCTAAGCGCAGGGAGTACCTCTACCTGGGAGGATTCCTTGCCTCTGCCGTCTCCACCATGCTCGCCCTGCGCCTTGCTTCCATCTTCTTTGGCGGCTCTAACGCTGTCTTTCAGATCGAGGTATATGTGTGAGGTGTGTGTGTGAGGTGTGTGTGTGAGTGAGGTGTGGCGCTGCTCGCACGGCGCAGGGAGTACCTGTACCTGGGGGGCTTCCTCGCCTCTGCCGTATCCACCATGCTCGCCCTGCGCCTCGCCTCTATCTTCTTCGGTGGCTCCAATGCTGTTTTCCAGATTGAGGTACGTGTGTCAGTTGCGTGTGTGAGTGCAATGTGGTCTCTGCTCTGTGAATTCGTTGCCTGTGCCTTGCCACTCCCCTCCGCCCTCTCCGCCATGCTCGCACTGCGCCTCGCCGCCTTCATCTTCAGCGCCTCTGATGTTGTCTTTCAGGTCGAGGCTATTGTGTAACGAGCCCTTTTGAGTCGACTCAAAAGCAGGTCGAGGCTATTGTGTAACGAGCCCTTTTGAGTCGACTCAAAAGCAGGTCGAGGCTATTGTGTAACGAGCCCTTTTGAGTCGACTCAAAAGCAGGTCGAGGCTATTGTGTAACGAGCCCTTTTGAGTCGACTCAAAAGCAGGTCGAGGCTATTGTGTAACGAGCCCTTTTGAGTCGACTCAAAAGCAGGTCGAGGCTATTGTGTAACGAGCCCTTTTGAGTCGACTCAAAAGCAGGTCGAGGCTATTGTGTAACGAGCCCTTTTGAGTCGACTCAAAAGCAGGTCGAGGCTATTGTGTAACGAGCCCTTTTGAGTCGACTCAAAAGCAGGTCGAGGCTATTGTGTAACGAGCCCTTTTGAGTCGACTCAAAAGCAGGTCGAGGCTATTGTGTAACGAGCCCTTTTGAGTCGACTCAAAAGCAGGTCGAGGCTATTGTGTAACGAGCCCTTTTGAGTCGACTCAAAAGCAGGTCGAGGCTATTGTGTAACGAGCCCTTTTGAGTCGACTCAAAAGCAGGTCGAGGCTATTGTGTAACGAGCCCTTTTGAGTCGACTCAAAAGCAGGTCGAGGCTATTGTGTAACGAGCCCTTTTGAGTCGACTCAAAAGCAGGTCGAGGCTATTGTGTAACGAGCCCTTTTGAGTCGACTCAAAAGCAGGTCGAGGCTATTGTGTAACGAGCCCTTTTGAGTCGACTCAAAAGCAGGTCGAGGCTATTGTGTAACGAGCCCTTTTGAGTCGACTCAAAAGCAGGTCGAGGCTATTGTGTAACGAGCCCTTTTGAGTCGACTCAAAAGCAGGTCGAGGCTATTGTGTAACGAGCCCTTTCCTCTAGTTCTGAGCACACCTGGGACGTCGCCCTGTGCGGGGGTCTGTTGGTGGTGTTGGCATGCATTCATGGCACGCAGGTGTTGCTGAGGGCCAGTGTGGCTGCTCAATTTGCTCCCTTGCCACTCCATTTCACTGCTTCTCCCACGCCCTCTTCCACCTCCTCTTTTGCACAGCTGTGCAGCGACCTCCTGGCGTTCGCTAGATACATCATATACGACACACAGGTGCTAGATGTTCACTGCTCCTCCATCATATACGACACACAGGTGCTGGTGAAGAGAGCCAGTGTGACTGCTTTCTCCACTAATATCCTCGTCCCATCTCCTCTCCCCGTCTGTCTCTTTTACCCCACCAGCTGTATGGAGGCCTCCTGGTCTTCTCAGGCTACATCATCTACGACACGCAGGTGCTGCTGGAGAGGGCGAGGCAGGGCCAGTGCGACCACGTTGTGGACGCTCTCGAGCTGCTGCTCGACTTTGTCGCTGTCTTCGTGCGCATCCTCTTCATTCTGGTAAGACTGTAACCAACCACCTTTGTTAGCCACACCACACCACACCACACCACACCACACCACACCACACCCCATCCCGTCGGCACCACATCCTACGCTGCACCTGCCACGGGGACGACGTGGGAGAGGGGGAGAAGCTGGAGCTGCTGTCGGGCTTTGTCGCTGTGACGCTGTCTTTGTCCGCATCCGCTTCATCCTGGTGAGTCTGCGTCTGCAACCTATGTGCCATCCACCACACTTCCACCACACCTGGTCACTGCCTGGATGCGGTAGTATACCACACACACCCCATCCTGTCCCGCCACTGCCACCACATGGCTGATGCGCTCGAGCTGATGCTTGACTTTGTCGCTGTCTTCGTGCGCATCCTCTTCAAACTCCATATCAGTAGCTGCCTGGAGTGTGCATGCCATGCCATGCCATGCCATCCAGTCATCTCAGGCTGCCCTCCTCATCAGCATGACGTGTCGTGTCGCCTGAGCTGCCTTAGTCCAGTGCTTATTGCTGATGCACCCTCACTTGCTCACTCCCACCCCTCCCATCAGCTCATCATCTCTCATGCTATGCTGTGCCGTGCCGTGCTGTCTTGTGCTGTGCCATGTCATGCTGTGTCTATGCTTCGCTTGCTCTGTGTTGCTGCATGTGCTGGGCAGACAAGGAAGGAGGAGAGGGAGGAGGAGCAGCGGGCATCATCCAAGCGCAGAACTGCTGCCAGCACCTCTCGCCGTTAAGACTCTTTTGTCCTTGACTTACCGCTTGCGCTAATGACAGCAGTGTTCCCACCAATGCCAAACCTGCTGTTAGCTATGCAGAATTTTTTTTCTGGAGACGTGCACCAGTATCCATTGAAAGATTGTCACTGTCCAGATCCATCTACAGAATTCCTATAGCCTCTCTTACACTTTCACTTCATTGTAACATGGAATGGACACAAGTGTAACACTAAGGCATGAACTTGGCTCATCCCATACATGCTTCAGTCGCAACAAACCCACCCCATAAGGACGCGTCACAATTGCAACACCAGGGGAGATCGGCACCAAACACCGAGAATGTGTGCATCGACTTGCGAAAAAACTTGTTTCAATCTGCAGGGGCAGTTTTGGCTGCTTCCCCGAGCCAAGTGGGACGACATCGGGTTTGCAACTGTACACCCAGCTGCTAGCGCAGGAGCCGTGCGAGTCGCACAGCTTCGCATGGCTTGTGACGAGCTAGAAATAGCAAGCTGCTTGCCCAATTGATGGCGACAACGCAGGGTACAAAGTTACCACAACGAAAGTTTCCGACAGTATGCAACGGCGATCGATCGTGGCTGGAACTGGTGGTGTGATTTCGATTCCCGCGCTGTCAAATCGCACAATCGATGTGGCAGTTTGAGCTATCCGACCTTGACAATCTGCAGGTAACACGATTGCCGCAACTGGATAAACGAAAACGGGATACCTGGCTTCCGCGAAATGGCGAAGACACTGTAGATTGTGCACACCGATGTTTCACAGGATCGGTGTTGCAATTGTGACGCGTCCTAAGGACGCGGTAAAAGTGGAGATTCGATCGCCTCAGGATCGTTTTTTAACGCGGTTGTAAACGGTTGTGTACCTTTCGTATGCAAAACGCGGGGTTTCAGTACGGTGACCGGATCGATCTCCCCCCGATCGAGTACTTTTACCGCGTCCTAAGAACAGGCCATCGACTGTTGCTGATTAGCGAGGCACATTCGCCCCACCCACTCTCTGTATACTCCAGCCGCAGCAGTGCATCGCGCCGCATTGATCAATCACAAGCCATGTCCTGATCTGCTCCCAGAGATCGCAACGGACGACCGCAACCAGCGTAGCTTCTCCCCGAGCGACAGGCTGTGCGACGCTCCCGTCGGTGTCGCGTCGACCTAGGCCGACAACCGTGGCACGTCGCATCGTCGCTGCTTTTCATTTGCGATTCCGCCGCTCCCTGAGTCGACGCACAAGTCACCGCATTTCCGTTGCTCTCTGTCCGCAACCCCCCGGGACCCAATCGGATGCTCCTCGCGCATTCTCTCCGCCGTCCCTTCCGCCTTCCACGCCGCCTACCGCTCGCTCTCCCTTTCCCTCCCCCGCTCGCTCCCCATTCTCCCCAGCCGCCCCGTCCCCTGCTCCGCTCCCCGCTCTGCCCCTCCCTCCGCTGCTTACACTCGCCTGAGCTTTTCAGTCGACTGAATCATCGGCCTGAGCCAGCCACCTCTCCCCGACGGTTCTTGCCAGAGGAGCGACCTTTTCCCGACGGGTGGGCTGAGCGAGCCATCTCTCCCAGGCGATTCCGCCTCCCTGTCGCCCTCGCGTGCCTCTTCCGGCCGACTGTCGCAATCGGGGCTTTAAACGGCGTGACGGCTGTTGGGACGTCGCATGGTGTGACTGTAATGGATGTCGGCAGGCTGCGGCGGAGCATGCGGATGGGGATTCATGTACCTGCAGGGATAAAGCCAGGTGTGACTGTAGTGAGTGCGAGAGGGAGTGCGAGAGGAGGGATTGTAAGAAAAGGGAGAGGGAAGAAAGGGAGTGTGAAAGAAGGGAATGTGAGAGAAGGGAATGTGATACAAGTGGGTGTGAGAGCGTGGAGAGCGGCAGAGGAAACGGTGATAACAAAGAGGGTGACTGTAGGGAGAGTGGCAGTATCAAGAAAAAACTCAACTGTAGAAGTAGTGGCAAAAGCAGAGGAATCAGAAGCAGCAGTAGGGGCAGCGGCGGCAGTGGCACGACCAAGCCAACGGCGACGAGGGAAGCCAAAACACGACAAGGAGAAAGACCCCGGGGAGCCAGAGCAAGCTGCCGAGGATGCTTATAACGAGGACGGCCCGCCGCCAGTGGTGATTCTGCTGGACTTTGAGACGACCGGGCAGGGCACCACGCAGAACCGCATAGTGGAGCTGGCGCTGAGGGACGTGGCGGGGGGCCGGGGGGCAGCGCTGCACACGCTGGTGAACCCGTTCCCGCGGGTCATTTCTGCCGACGCGGAGAGGGTGCATGGGATCAGCATGCGCATGGTCAACCGCCCGTCCGTGCCCCAGTGAGTGCCCATTGTGAGTGCCGGGAGCTCCCTTGCCTGGCCTCCGCATGAGCATGAGCATGAGCATGAGCATGAGCATGAGCATGCCCACCCGCCCGCCCCTACGTCAGTGGTGACTGGGAGGTGCATGCCTGCCTTCCGCAGTGAGTAATGCAGTGTCTGTCAGGTGCATTCACGGGCGCTCACTCACACCCATCTCCAAACCTTGACTCTCACTCATCCACCTGTACATATTCTCAGAGGTGCCGCGAAAGACCTTATGAGGCGTCTCAAACGACCCTTACTGTCACTCATTCATTCCTCCATTCTCTCTGCGCCCCACATCTCCCTCGCTCCTGACTTTGTTTCTCCCTCGTCACACGAATCGAATCACCTCAGCTGGCGAGAAGCCGGGCGGCTGCTGGTGGACTTTGTGGAGGCCAGGCGGGCGGTGCAGGCAGAACAGGCAGCAGTCTCCGTACACAGCAGTGCTACCACTGGCATCTACGTCAACACCGAGAGGGGTGCAGGGATGCGCATGGGGATTATGAGTGCAGAGATGAGTGCTGTCTCCTCTGCTGCCCCCCTGCTCCCTCCGGTGGTGCTGGTGGCGCATAATGGCTGGTCGTTTGACTTCCCTCTGCTGCGCAATGAGCTGCAGCGGGTGGGGATTGCTGTTCCTCCGGGTTGGTACTCCCTCGACTCCATGCGCCTCGTGCAGAGGCTGTTCAAAGGTGCGCTTTAGGGTGTGTTTTGAGCTGCAGCGCGGTAACATCCCAGTGCTGCCCGGCTGACACTCCCTCGACTCCATGCGCCTCGTGCAAAGGCTCTTCAAAGGTGCGCTGCTTCCTTCTTGCATATCTCTCCCACTTCTCTTCGGCGAGACTCGCACCGCAAGCCAGCGAGCAAGGGGCTGAAATTCCTTTTCTCAACACGCCTTCGCTGCTCCACGCCCCTTCTTCACCCCTTCCTTTGCACTGCTTCCCCCACTCCCCTACCATCTCTTACATGGCCTCTCTCTCCCGTCTCCCCATCAGACACGGATCGCAAGCCAGCAAGCAAGGCGCTGGGATTCCTCTTCTCAAAGCACTTCCACTGCTCCACGCCCTTTGCCCACCCGGACCTGGCCCACCGAGCCATGGCAGATGTGGACAAACTGGCCGAGGTGCTGGCTGCTGCCATGTGGGAGCGAGGGGTTACTACACAACAATTGTTACAGTACACTAAACCATTCTTATAATAGTGTGTTGAAATCTGGAAAGCAAGACCAACAGAGCTCTATGGCAGATGCGGTCAAACTGGCCGAGGTGCTGGCTGCCATGATGTGGGAAAGAGGGGTCATTGTAGCACAACGGCTACCGTATGCACCGCTGAAATATGAACCAAACCATATTTCAATCATAAGCCTGGTGGTTTTGGTTGAACACGAAGAACCAGCATGTGGTGGATGTTGGAAACAATAAGTCCTAAGTGCGCTTCTGTCGTATCAAAATCCAAGGTACCAAGCGAAGCAGTCCCAATCGAAGCATCGAGTCAACCTCGGAGGTTAGGGTAACCGCCTGGAGGTTACGAGAAAGTCAAAGGTCGCTGACCTTTGACTCGACAATTACTGCGCGACAGTTAAGGACACACAACTGACTCGTTACAGAGCAGTTGCCCGAGTCGCGCTATATCGAACCGCAACAGCAATACAGTTATCTATTCCCTGTACTCTTATATAAATCCTTGTATTTGCTTGTTTAATTCAATCAACTTTGCTCTCACACACCAGTGCAAGGTCGGTTCAAATTCTTCACTAAACGCTTCCGTTATTACAACTACTTCACCTAGAGTTATCCCTTGCAAAGATCCTAAGGGGCTATCTCAGCCCAACATGGTATGAGAGCAGACAAGGGAAATTCTACTCTTTTTCAATATCATTACAAGACATGGCAACAAACAAGGAAAGGAGCTCCCCTAATGGCTCCTCGGGCACTACTCCTACTCCACCGTCAGCCTCTGGCCTGCAGACAGAAGAAGGCACGGCAACAAGACCAAGAGGAACGTCAACCGAGACCCCCATGAACCACCCTTCGGACTTTGACCAGAACATGATGGAGAAATTTTTCTCCTTCATGTCCTTCTACGAACAACACCAGCAGTCGGGACCTGCACAAACACACAACAGCAACAACGGAGCGACACCCATGAGTCTTGATGGGTCGTCATATGCGCGAGGAAACCAGCAGCAGCAACCTACCTTTGCTCCGTACGAGCGCGGGTCAATCAGCTTCGTGCCCCACCCGCAACCTTCACCTGGACAAGAAAGACCACTGGACGCACTTCAAGTTCAGTCGCAGTTTGCACACGTCTTAAAACTGCAAACGTCAAGACCCTTCGACGGCAAAGACTTCTTTACCTGGTCCTTTGAATTCGAGCTGATGATGGAGGGCGCGCAGATACTCGGCTTCTTCGACGGGTCCCTGCAGTATCCAGCCAACGGGACACAATATGAAAAGCAGCAGTATACGTATCAATCAATGATGGCGTATACAATCCTATTGAGGAATGTGACACCAACTCAGCAGCAGAACATTCGCTCTTACCGGACCTTCGGCAACTCGGCGGAGCTCGCGTACAGCCATCTGAAGAACCTGTATCAAGCAACAGACAGTGTAAACCAGAGCAGGTTAATGGCGCAGTTGACGACAGTCGAAATGAAACCAGGAGA